CGTCAAATCTTATTTTGGTTGTGTTTGTTGTGATTTCCCGTTTGCTCTTTTGGTTCGTAGTTTGGACGTCCAAAGTCTCGTTTAGAAATGTTAGTATATGGTTACTGTGCGCCTCAGCCACCGGTCGATAGAATAGACTTTCTAGGACTTCATTTGTTTTGATATAAAATATCTCCTCGGTCCTGTTCACTGTTAACCGGTGCAGTGTCGTCGAAATCACTCTTTTTCAGAGGACATAAAAATCGAAATTATCTTTTAAGCAAATCAACTCCGACATATAACAAAACCCTAACAGTAAATTATTAGAACATAGACGTTTAAGTCTGCCCCGTCTTCGGTTCTTTTTTTGTCCTTTTATTATCGAACTGAAGCGAACAGGGGAGCCAGGCGTGTCCGACGAGGGACTCTGGTGTATCGTGTCCCGTCCGCCCCCTCCCACCCCCCTGCCCCCCCCACAACTAGCTTACCCTTGGAGTCGTTTCCCGTAGGGGGCTCACCAGGCATTTGCGTCTATAAGAGGAAGTAGGCTGACCCCTGCACTAGATCGGTACGTGACCCGGTCCCAGGTCTAGACAACACCTCTTGACCTAGGCAAGGACACCACGGACACCCAAAAGTACCGGATACATGTTCTGACGTCTATGGACGCGAACCGGTCTGAAAGATGTTTCACGCCTACTAAGGGAATTCCTTATTGGTGGTCACCGGGAACGACCGGAGACAAAAAAGAACGTCCTGACAGGTTTCGTTTCTTGGTCGTAGTCTAAAGAAAGTTGTGTTAAACCTTAGTCGTAAGCCAAAAAGGAGGCCCGGAGATGCTCCAAGTCCCCTACTTTTCAGTCATAAGTTTGGTCTTTGTTTGTAAAACAGGCAAAGAAAAACAATCTTTTATGGTTGTAAAGAACAACTATCGTAAAATTCTAGGTTTTTACCCTAAAACTTAGCGTTAGGTCGTTCATTTTTGTGATGTCGAAGATCAAGGATCAAAGAGCAGACGTTTCTTTTCTAGGGTAATAATTTGCGCGAGAAGAGAGTAAAAACAAAAGTTTCACACTTTTAGGTTAGAATCGAAAAAAAGTCAAAAATACGTTTTGGTCCGAGTCCATTCGCCCTTTTACGCTTTTTGTGTTGAAAAGGAAAGTTACCACCGTAATGAACAAAAAAAAGGTGACTACCTAAGAAACTTCAACTAATTTGTTATAAAGGCGATAAACCCTAACACAACAAAAAATATTCTTTCGAACCAATACTTCGTCAGGGTAAATAATCTAGTAAGAAGCGTCTCAAACTTACAAAAGTCTCATTGCAAAAAAACAAGTTGAAACGCAGAAGAAGGGTAAAGAATTTTAAAAAATTACTACAAAATTAGTAAGAGGTTGTGCAAAAAAAGCGAAAGGTCTCAGAACCTCCTCCTAGACTGTGAGGAAGGTAAATCAACGAGTAGGAGCGGACCCCTAGGCGGAGCGAGAACAGGAAGTATACCCAAACAAGACGAAAAGAGGATGGCTCCCTTGCGTCACCTGTGATGTTGGAAGTCGCGGTTTCGGGTTCGTCCCTTTGACGAAGGTGGATGGAAGCAGCAAAGTGGCATCTTACAACGCGGTAGTTCGTTGGTTGGTCGACTTTGGTGGGGACGGTTAATTCTTGTTGTATGTTGAAAGCCGTGTAGTCTGTGTACACCATTGCCAAAATGCTCGCGTTTCCGCCGCGTGTCCCCCGTGACAACGTGGTTTAATAAAAGAGTGGTCTGTACGTTTAAACGTGTAAATTTCGTTATTTAATTGTGTTAATCAAATATTATATTACAAAAGGGTGGGGTCAAAGATATATGCACTAAGAAATTAGTGAAATGTAACTATTTGATCCAAAACGCGTACCCCTAACTTTTTACAGTTTAATACTTTGATATTTATCGAAAAAATGTGAATTGTAATTATCTGTATTGGTTCCGAAACGTTGTAGAAATTTACCATTTCAATTCAAAGAAAACTTTCTACTCGACGTAGCAGCGACTTCTTGTTTTACAAAAAGAAAAGAGGGTCCTTCGTATGAAATTAGTCTCAATGTTGTCAATGTGTAAATGACAACGCACGAAAAAACTTTACGTTTGTAAACATTACACGTCTAAAACAATTTCATATGAATTTTATATTGTAGAAATCTGGTGGAAAACAACGTCGTCAGAAAATGATTGCGTGAAGAAATAAAATTCGACCGTAAAGGAAAAATAAAATTGTTTTAATAAAAATAATAAAGAAATGTGAATGTCAAAAACAAAAACAATTAAAAAAACAAAAGTTTTTACTTTAATGGCAAAAACAAGCAGTGATATTGTGGGGAAAAAGGTAGACACCACGTTGTTAATTTGTACGAGGCACATTAGCTTAGAAACCACTTCGAACCCACGACAAAAACAGGTGTTCACAAAAAGAAGTCGACATTCTTTGTTTTGTTCCGATTTTACGAAAAAGGGCGTTACGTGTTTCTTATTGTAGGCAATGTTGTGACAAACAAACTTATACGTTAATGTTATTTTCCCAACGGACAGTATCGGTTGTGAGTACACGAAAAAAGGGGACTGTGGTGGCCGCCCTGCCTTTTACCAACAAAGGGAAAAGGAGAGAATAGTTCTAAGTCCCCGGAAATCTTTTTTAATAGAAATTATCCGGAAAAAGCGTCAAAAAACTGTCTAGGACTTCTCCTCCTCAAGGTCGAAAAAAGGGGTGTATCAGGGTATATAGGTCAAACTGACGGCCCAGTCGTCACTGTCGGGCCTAGTTTTTCGGACACTTCCCCAGAACTTCAACACAAAAAATCTGTTCCTCTCCGAAAAGAGAGACTCTTCCTCAGGGCCTCTGACGAACTTCCCCGGACTTGGTTATTACCTCCCACCGTTGGTTAAACCTCTCCGTTGTGCAAGGTACCGGTTGTTGTCACGTGGCCCTAAACGCTTCGCTCGCCCTGTTCGCTAAGTTGTCTCACCCCTCGTATTTAAAATTAATTTTGCGTACCTTTACTCTAACACATGGTAGGATTGACAGGAGTGTCATACTACTCTCGTGAAGTTACATCTATTACCTCCTGACGCGTGATTTAGAGACGCGAACTCCTCCATACTCTGGCTGTGAATTTCCACTTTTCCCGTTTTGTATAAACAAAAATTTTATGGCTTTTATGTGAGAGTAATAATAGTAGTATGGAGTGTAAATCTGTTTAATCATCAAAAATTGTGCAAAAGGATTTTACCAAAAATCAGAAGATCAAATTGTGGTATCGTATTCTCTCGCTATTCCAATCGCACTTGTATACATTGTGAACGAGACTTGCATTAGCTCTAGAAGTATAAAACGTGCGAAAATGGTGATGTTCTCTTATGTGGTATTATGTACTTGATAAATGGGTGTGTACTACATTCATAAACAGGAGGTCGGAAAAGATAACTAAAGCGACACCTACTTTGGTCACCGTTTGGGATTACCAGGGGGTCTGCGTGGTGATTCACTCTCTTGTGAATTACAAGAAATTTATTATTGTCTTTATTCCGTGTGAGACTTAGATCATTGTATAGTTGATGACGCCGCGCTCATCTTTGTTTAGGGGGGTAATTCCAAGATTGTGTGAGCTATGTTCTCTGGTTGATTCTCTTGTTGTGTGTATGCGTGTGACTTAATTGTTACATATGGACGAAGTTGCGGGATGAATAGAGAGCGAAATTTTGAGTACAGTGTCGTGTATGTTTGTTCTTCTTACTATTGTTAACCTAATTCTCAAATGTGTAGTTACCCGGCCGTGACTCTCACAGCCTGTCTAAGTTTCATCGTCTTATAAAAGGGATCTACTCTCTCTTAAAAATTATTTACAGAATGTGTTTGACTGGGGTTCTCTTGTAGTAGTATAGATTTTGAAAGCGCTAGTAACTCTTGTTCAAACTGATAGGGTATAACTACACATAACCATAGTGAACATGAAGAAGAAGATCTCATATGTTATGGAAAATGGAGATGCAGCCAGAAGGGGTTAGCTTAGCTTAGCTTAGCTTAGTTTAAAGGGTGGAAACTGGCCGTTTCTCAATCTCGAGGATAACTGGCTTCCAAGCCAATATTTCAAGGATGCTACGTCATCACCAAAAATGTGTTACGTGAAAGTAAAGCAAGTTCATAATTAGATAGACATCGTGAGGTATTTATTTTCAGTACAGTTTATGTTGAAACCGTTAGAGAGAGTGGCACACTTGTTAGCCTGTTCCATTCTTCTTTGTTTTCCGAAGCCGTGGCTTGGAAGTATACTTGCTTCGTTTCTGAAGGAAGTGACTTGGAAGTATGCGACTACCAAGCCAGTATCCTCGCGATTGAGAAATGGCCGAAGTCTACCGATGTGCAGCCTCGAAATTACCCCCAAACCAAGGACGCGGCCTCGGTGGAATTCCAAGTATGCTGGAGATTGGAACAGTCCTTCGGCGGCACTCGATGACATAGTATCCTTGAAATATTGGCTTGGAAGCCAGTTTCCTCGAGATTGAGAAATGGCACGTGTAACTGTCACGTTTGAAGGGACGAAATCGTGACATCTTCATGTCTCCCAGCATGGTAAATCGTCACATGTTCACGTCTCCCAGCATGGTAAATCGTCACATGTTAACGTCTTGCCGTGATATCGGGTTGACAGAATGAGTATACTTTTTGTTTTGTAAGTACATTGTGATGCTAATATACAAGTACAATTTAAAATGAAGGAATGTCTGTGTTTGTATTTCTACATTGTGCAATTATTCGTCAAATAATTCTGCTAAGTAAAAGTAGCATGAAAATTAAATACTGAAGACAAATTCAAGTTTACAAGCGAGCCATCCAGTGAGTACAATTAGTTACAATCCATCACTGCTTCATACTAAACTTAGAAGCTGTGGGCTGAAATAAAAACCTACATATTTTAACCTTATCCCTTCACATCGGTTGAGGGGGAGCACCAGCACCCTGGTCTCACCCATCATCACCTATCATCACCCTGCTGTCACCCTCCCCGCTGGGTGGCTATGCAGAGGCAGTGACGTCACCGGGCTGTCTCTCGCTCCCTTCCTGCTGCATCACAACAGCCGTTAGTAGCTCGAGTAGTGACCGGGGGGGAGAGGATATCCACAGACATTTCATTGATAAAACAACTCTTATTGACGCTGCAACAACATCCTAACACGGGGGTAACAGACAGGACCTGGTTGCAGTGAGATAACCCCGCTCCTCCAGCTGTTGGGAGATGGCCAGGCCGGAACAGGTTCTGCTCTTGGAGCCTCAGCACGAACTGAAATTCAGAGGTAAGAGAGGGGAGGGCCCGGCGGCTTGGACGGGAGGGGGGAGCTGCCTCTGCCAGCGGGGCTAGAAAGAGGGGGGCAGGCCAGTACGGTAACCAAGCCGGGGGGAAGCTGGACCTCACATTTTGACAATATTTGCCTTCGTATGAAAAGAAAGATAATGAAAGGACGGCAGGTCAACTGACAGCTAGCTAGCTGGTTAGCTAGCTGGATTAGCTTCTGTCGGCTAATCAGCCTAGCCAGGCCTTGTTGCTCATTTCTGCTGCAGCAACTGTTTTAAAGCTGTTTACACGTGCAGCACACGAAACAGATGTCCATGGAAATAGGGACCATGATATGTATGTGACAACCAATTTTCTGCATAACCTTTTGTTGCACAGAAGCTACAACATCCTTAGCATCTACAGCTAGCTAACATTAGCACGCTCTCTGATTGGCTGTCACGCTCTGTTGGACAGCCAGCTGTCATTTAATAACTTGACAGCTCTCAGGACGAAATAACTGCATAACCTGAGCTACTTAATATGTGTAAGCTACGGATCATCAACATGCCAAGCCTCCTTATCGTTAGGGCTTTACATACGCTATTAGACATTTGGTTTAAGCTCGACATTTGGCCAAAATATGTTGCTTAAGGCCTAAATACTCTTACAAAAACAAATATGATACTAATTGATCTGTTTTGCAACATATTACAGAGATCATGTCATCATTTTAAATATTGCATTGTACTATTGAGTATTGAAGCTAGATATTTGTATACGTTTATGAATGGTTCAAATGACAGTTGGACTCTAATACATGGCCAAACTTGTACTCACTAGTCTTGCTTTAAATCAAAAACTTTGACAAGTACATTGTGTTCTTCTTCCCTGTGCTTGGCTGTCTCAGTCAGTGTCTTCCAGTGTCTCATCTAAAAACGTACTGTTTCTGAAAGCATATCCTGATATTGCTTTTTGTGTATTTTATTATTCATTTTAAATTGTATTTTTCTCTCTGTGAACCACTTTGTATTTTGCAACTTCTTTGCTAAATGCAATTTGGCCATTGGTGTTTGACTTAAGCACACCAACATTACACTTAAAAGACCCAGCAGCACCAACGTGTTAGGTAACTCACACCTCTGTGTTTTTATGTGAACTGCCAATTTAAAGTAGCATAATGCTTATGTCTAAATGTGCAGATGGTGTTACCATACTCATTTATTTTCTATGACTACAGTGTAATGGCAAATTATAAAGGTATTTAACTCTTTATAGCAGTAATGAAGTGTCAGAGTTGTATTAAGCTCTCTATACTGAGCCTGTATATTGCATTATTAAAAATATACAACGAGGTGCCAGATTTATGAACATTTTGTACAAAGCGGAGGCAAATAAAGCCTCAGTATATATATTTTTTTATCAAGGCTTGTTATATTGTTAAAAGCAAGTTTTACGTTAGAAATAGGTAGGGATCAGGTTAAATGACATATCATGTTTCTACTTTTTCTACCTTGTACAACTGACTCATTGTTAGATTGAGAAGGGACAGACAAAACAATTGAATGGCCTATTGATAAAAAAGCCATTATGGCAGGTGAGGTAAAAATGTACATTTTGGACTGAAACAACAGGCAAAAATTGTTATATATTGTATTTGTAGTCAGTCACTTAAACCTGTGGGTAGTGTTAATTCACCATTGAGCGTGTAAACATGTTTCATTGTAAAAAAATGTTGTCTACAATCCAATAAATGGAACCTCAATACATATAGAACACTTTGGTCCGTCAATAACTTTTCATTTTCCCTGCCCTGTCTGCCAATCTTTGCCTAAAGCTAATTATTTCTCACAGATAATGTAAACCTCTAAAAGAGTACACAAGTATTGAGCATTTTAATCCACAGGTTAATACACGTGTGCTTGTGAGTAATTGCAGCATCAGGACGATGCAGGATTGACCCAGAAAAAAATAAGTTCATTGTTATAAAGGAACATGCCCTGCAGCCGAAGGCTAATGTATTTAACATATGTTTTGGGGGATTAAGCTATATCAGACTACAAAGAACACACGTTATAGTTAATAGGATCAAATTGTTGTTGGTTTAAGTCTTTTAATGGGATTTGTTAAAGATAAGATAAATGAGAATATCGCCAGCTTGGCATCAAGCAGAGTCACTGTTTCTATGGTTACTTACTTGTAGTTTAATATACCTTGCACCCTGATTTCCATCATATGATTTACATGGACACACCAGCCATTGAGAAAGGAGCAACAAACTCATATGTTCTGTGCCTTCTTAGAATACTACACAATATAACAATTCACATGGCAATACTCAGACCCCAAGTTATATGCAGGCATGGGTTTGTGAAACAGGAAATAGAGAGGAGTTATGTTAGCAGCAGCTTGTTAGGCATCAGACCATCTGTGTTAAGGACTGGACTTTCTCGTTTTGTGTTAATCTTCATCTTAATCAGGAGTATTATTAAAAAATCTAACTCCCTGCTCTTCCCTTTTATATGTGCTGTTTATAAAATGTATCCTTGAAAGATGACAGATTCAAACATTAGCTCTTCATATACTTTTTTAACTGCGGCTTGTGGTTTTTGTGAGTTGGATGGTATCCCCAGACACTTTCAGGAAGTAGTATATCAGGTGTACAGTTGTCGGTGGCGTGAGTCCCTTTCATTACAATTCTTCTGAAGTAACGCCAAGCTTGTGAGGGTCTGAGTTTCCTCTCTGTCTTTGCTCAAAGGGGAAGGGAAGTGTCAGTTGCTCTGGATGTTTGCTGAGCTGAAACTTTATCTTGAATCTGGTGTATGTGCTAATTCTGAAATAGCTCCATGTTTTCATTCACAGAGAGTGGGCCTCTGTCAAGCACTAAAGGATTTTCTCACAATAATAGCTACTGTAGCGGCCTCATTTGTTATTTTGAGAGAAAACTTTACCTGATTGAAAAACCTGGCTTGCTGAATTTTGGCTTTTGTAATTGCAGCATGTCACAAGTTAAAATGTTACTTAGATAACTGTAAGTTGGTAAACAAATTGATTAATTGTCAGCACTTTTAGGTAGTTGTTGGGGAATAATTTGCTTAGGTATTCAACCTTTGACACAGTTCATCATTTTCTCCTTTCACGTTCTCTTCTCCCATGGCATAGGTCTACGGCCTTGGGTATTGCTGCTATCTCTCTTAAGGAGGGGCAGCTTGGCGCACATTATTTTCAATGGACGACAGCTCTAGTTAGATTCAGGGTCCATATTTGTTTAGTCTCGCTGATAAAGAATGTTGATTATTACACTCCGAACTAGTTAAAACCTGGAACTACAGAAGAGTTCTTCAGAATTGGTTTGGCATCTCTACCGTGTGGTCAACTTGTGGCCCGTGATATGTCTTGTGAATTCTCCAGCCAAAGCTCCAAATAAACCGTCAGCGTTTGCCATCAAAGTTCCAGCTCTCCTTGTGTCTCTCTTGCCCCTTTCACACCAAGGCTTTTCCCGTTCTAGCTCCGTGCTAGAGCTTTTCTGGTTCTTCGGTTCAGCTCCCGCTCTGTTCACACCGCTCAGAGCCCGACTGGTGCTGCGTCATTGCGTCATTGTTTGCTTCATAAAGCCAAACCGCGCGGAACCCCCTCACATCGACAACAACAACAATGGCCGATTGTATTGAAGCGCTACTCGTTTTGGTTTTGCTTTGTTGGAGCGAAATGGAAGAAGTGGGACGACTTTACTACCAACTTTACAGTCGTTACATGCTACATTCAAAAGTTCTTTGGACCGTGTGCTCCCCTCCAGCTTCCTCTGTACCTCTTCGGAAGCCCAGGTTCCCAGTAGGTAGCTGGTCTCTTCAGTGGACCACTGCTGCTTGTTAAGTTTTAGGTTTTCCATCGTTGTGTACAAACTGGATAAAACACGGGCTTTTTGTTGTTGTTAGAGGTTGATCCCGCCCCTGCTCCCGCCTCCGACGTAAGCGTGACGTATGCGGTGTTTGCTTTCTAGACCGCCAACTTTTTGGTGCTTGAAACTAACCGGATTCCGGAGCTTAGAGGTGTGAACAGGAAAAACCAGTGCTTTTCAAGCCCCAGCTCCGAACCGGCCCTGGAACTGCGTTGGTGTGAAAGGGGCATCTCCACCACAGTAGTCATGAGTTGGGCTTTTCTTAGAATATTGTCACAAACATAAACCCCAGAAGATCATAAATGTCTCTAAAGCTCAGAACCTATAGTTGTCTACTGATATACCTGAGGGTCACTATCATGTATACGATATTATAAGATCTTGATATCCACCATATCAAAAGTAACAGAAAACATAGCCGCAAATAAATCTATTCCTCTTTCAGTTTTAAATGCTTTTTTAACAATACAGTAAAGTTCCAATATGACTACTTAGTTTCCGTAAGTCTGTCCGTTGTAAAGTTTGTGGTATTGGCACTGTATTCGTTAAGACTTACTCACTTGACCATGAATTAGCTTTGCTCTCTCTAGACGTAGCTTTCCTGGAAAAACACAGTGACTAACGGCTGCCAGCTATCTAAATACATTTTTATATGCAGTTTTATGCAATAAAAAGATAACTTTTGCCAAAATAGAATATACTAAGGACTAGTGATGCTGCATATAATGAGGTTTTTGGAATTTGCACCCCTTCCAGTAATGTGTAATGTCCTGACAATATCAAAGAAGACTCATTACACTCTTGGCTTTTTCCAAGGTCAATGCATTGCCCGTATTAGGTTTTGCTCCTTTTAATTTTTGTACAGTGGTACATGCAAAAGCGCTCATATCCAACAGTTTTGACATATCTGTTAATGTCATTAACACTAAACTGAAAAGCAAACCTTACACCAAAGTGGAGATTGCTTGCTTTTGTGGTGGGTTTTAATGTGCATGCAATAACTTTACTTCTGAATTTATCTGGTGCCTATAAACCTCTGAATCGCAGCCCACCACGTCTTGTTTTTTTCAGTTGATCAAAAATGTCTGGTGTTGTGCTCATTGATGGCTATTTAATGAAACAAGACAATCTCTGCTTGAAAGTGGTACGCCGTCTTTTTTGCCAGGAAAGCAGCTAAAGAGAAATAGAAAAAATGACCCAAAACTGAGACTCACTTTCTGCTGAATATTCAGAGCAAAATGACATTTCCTCCCAAACAGTAAGACTCAGTGATGGGGTAAAAAATAAATCCATTTCAGTTCCATCTAATTATATCTTGCATGTAATATGGTTTCATATTGATCACAGGCCGCTGAATTGAATGAAATTGATTTCGTACCTTGGCAGACTTTTGGATATTAGCAGCAAATATTGTATGTGTTACATAATACGTTTTTCTTACCTGTATAAAGACACAATGATCATTGTAAAAGTGTGGACACTTAGTGTATAAAGATAAGGCTGTCATTTTATAAAAAATAAAAAAAAAGATTAACGTATATGATTGAGCTTGTATATTATCCGTTGAGGAGATTGTGGTTAGGGTTCAAAGACTGTTTTTATTTAGCTAACTCACTTATTGGCTGCAATCAATTGCAATTGTCTCTTTATTTTGTCTTTATTGTAGAAGCCCCAGACAGTACGTTACAAAGATGTGTTTCCCAATTGTCTCACAGTTTCTTAGTCCCCATTTACACGGGAATGCAAACGAACCGAATTCGATATCAAAAAGGTCTTCCGTTCACACGGATACGGCTCAATAAACGTGTCCCTTCACAAGAGACCGATCGACCCGCTGGAGACGCTGTAGTACATATGCCACGCCTGTAATTGGCGCTGTACTTCCGCCACAAAATACACCAAAAGCAGCAAAGAAGACCCCCGAGCATGGTTGCCATGACTGCCTGGTTGCCCTTCTGCTTATTCTCCGTGGTGGATTTAGCAACATAGTTCTCCATGTCCACTTGTTGCTGATGGTTGTGGTAGAGGAGCTGTAGATTTTGCACTAACATCTGTAGCATGGTGTTACGTTCCCTCTAAATCTAGGGGTACCAAGGGAAGTAACAAAACACAACGTTGATCAGGCACGAGAAAAAAGAGAGGAAACCGTTCTCTGGAGTCACGAACAGGCCTTTTTAATAGTAAAAAAAAAAGAACACTGGCTGCTCACCAGCTAACTTGCACATTAAACTAGTGTCCCATATCCAGGAGCACATCTCTTATTGATCTATAGAACACAGGTTGTGCGCATGCAGCCAGAGGAGGAGAATGAGGAATCACTGCAGTCTTCCTCCGGTCCTATATGTAGGCCCTGATTGGGAATTAGGAGCACCCGGGGAGAGGCTGCACCTGGGGACAACCAGGCTGCACCTGGGGAATCAGAGGGAGAGAGAGAACGACACACACACACACACACACACACACAAACACTACTGCACGTAACACATGTGAGCAGCAGAGTTGGGGCTATGGCTTCATTGTTATCAGGAAATGATCGTATAGGACGTACACACGGAGCCGTTTGGCCCCTGTGACGAAGGTAACTTTGAAGGTAACTTCGTCACTGTGGAGTGATACAACACGTTTCGTTCCCGTGTAAACAGCACCTGAATTTCAAGAATCCCTGCCCTGTATTTGACTGAATAGAAGGGCTAAACTCTGTGATTTCACACAGCCGTGTGAACCTGCTGTTTTTCCCTTTCGCCTTTCCCCTCCTTCATGTCCTCATTCCTCTCTACCCCTTCAACCTTAGATATTACTCAAGGTTGAACAAAACCTTGTTTCACTGTAACCAATGTTATGTTATACAAATATAGATGATCAAACATTAACAGGATGAAGATGTTAAAGAAAGAATGAGAAAAAAAATGTAATCAGCCAATTGAATAGATAGACAGTTATAACACAGCACAAGTAGTTGATACAGTGATGTAGTGAAAACCTTAAAAAAAGAAGTGCTGCAGTCTGGATAAAAACTCATTCAACCTCAGCTCACCTCATAGATTTAGCACAGTGTCATTTTGCTGTGGCTTTTGTTGTAAGGACTTTCTGCGTTATTGACATTCTGTTCAGCTTAATGCATCCAGTCTTCCGAAAGCTTTAGAGATATGCAACCTGCATCAACAAAGATAGCTTTAATTACATGTATTTGACTGACTTTATTTGTATTGAGGACAACTTCCAGTCAAACTTATTAGAAACCTGAATTAGTTGAATTGGCGGGGAAACCCTGTTTATCTAAAATGTCAGGTCACATAAAGGAGATTTGTTGCAGAAGTTCCATATTCTGCGCAATAGATACATTTTTCTATAATTGAAGTCACATCTTGTTAGGCTTTGTCACATATTTTCAATATGCTTTATGTAATGGTATTTCAGTGATCTAATTTAAAAGCTTGGAGAAGCTTGTTTTCTGTTGTGTTAAATCTGTGTTACATTTTTGGCCAACTTTTCTAATATATTCTGTTGTAGCAAAGATATTTTATATTTATATCAATATTTATATGTATATAAAGAGGTTCCCCAGCTTGCTTGTTTTATTTCCTCATTTATTTATTTGATATGCTTTTTTTGCAGCAGTGGATGATTAATTAGCATTTTGATGACTAAGGGACACTCATTTGCTTTGGATGTTTCTGACTGCACAGCTCACACTCACACATATTACGAGCTTGTTTCATTTTGTATGTCGGTGAAAGATTTATTCTGTGCATGTGTTATTTTCAACCATTTGGCATTCACGCAATTCAAGTGACAAATCGTTTTTTGAGATTTATGAGTGTGGTGTAACTCTTTATAATGTGTTGCCATTTATTGTGACTTGTGTAGTTGTACGTTTTGGCTTCAGCGGTCTTTTCTGATCCATTTGTCTCTGGAGGACCTTGAATTATCTTCTTAAAGAAAACATCACTACAGAGTTTTTTTGACATATCCACCTTATCTTCTTCACAGGTCCATTCTCAGACGTGGTCACCACAAATCTCAAGCTCTCCAACCCTACAGACAGGAATGTGTGTTTCAAGGTGAAGACGACAGCGCCGCGCCGCTACTGCGTGCGGCCGAACAGCGGAATCCTCGATGCAGGCACATCAATCAACGTCTCAGGTAATGATTGATGAAATAGGAATGAGAAGGGGCCAATCAATTATGATTATCAACGAACATGTAGCTGCTACTGTTGTGGAAATGTTAAGTGTATCTCAAGACAAATTACTTGACTGATTTAAAAGGGTGTTTAATACACAATTTGTGGCTACAGCTCCGCTAACATGAGGATTGTGCATTTTTTTTCTGGATGCCTCTTTTTTGTGTGACTCTTGGTCAGAACTTAGGCATAGCATATATGGTACAGTGTGAGTCTGTGCGGAGATTTTAAAGACTACACGATTGATATGGAAATTATATTTTTCGTAGCTCTAGTTGCTACAGACTTCAAGCCATCTAAATGTATCCTGAATGCGTTTGCATGTTTTTTCTAAACACACTGGTCCTCTCCCGTTACCCAGTACACCCCCACCCTCCGCCTGGCAGGCCTCATTCCCAGCCGTGCTCTCTGAGGGAGACAGGTACAGTCTAGTGTTTCCACACTGTGCCACCTCTGCCATTTACAGCCACAGACTCATTTTACAACCTCTCCTATCTGGTGTCAACAACTGCGAACCGAGACACCGGGGGCCTCCAGTCAGCAGTGGGCGACAAATCAGCCCAGTCCGCTCCGTCGGATACCTTCATTTTTCACTCTTATTAGGGTTGAGAAAGGTCACAGGTTTGAGTCCAAAAAGGAGATTACTTTTCTAAGTGTTGTGTCTCTATTAGGCAAACATTAAGGCTACGGTCTGTAACCTCTTTATGTCCAGTCTGTCTTCAGGGAAAAATCAGTAAGCGGTGTGCTTAACAGGATAACAAGCCGCTGTGGGTTCGTATCTTGCAGGCATTGTTTGCTTTGAAATTGAACTAACATTAAGTTACTTTGATGGAAAGCCCAGGTTTATAATCCCCCTGATAATAACATCCCTGATTCTGATGTCAGCTCCAAACCAAGTTAGGAGTGGTTTCCAGTTTCCATTATAATTGACTTAGATATCCAAAGCAGCATATGTCGGGCCATGCCACCTAGAGTCAAGAGGTCTGTGCACCAACACCTTCGTAAACTAATAAACATGTATTTCAATTTGTAATACTCTGTCTGATGCCAAATGGCTAAGCTATTGTGCTATTACTTTAAGGGCAACTCATTACTTAAGGGCATCTTGGGTACATTTGTCCAATTTTGAGCTTTGACCGCTGCAATTTAATCACATTGTGCCAATTGGCATTGTTTGTTTGACTGCTATGATTAAATTGCATTGAAGCATCACTTGCATCTTAAAACTTGACTATCTGCAACAACAAATAATCCAAATGAGTCCCTTGACATTAGGAAATATGACAGAATTTGCTCTTTTAAAAAATGTCAATGCTGTCATAAGACAGCTAAAAGAGATTCAATGTCTTACCTGCTGACACCTGACAACTCTTTTTAACTGGACTACATTCAAAACTGCTCCACCTGTTAAAAATCTGCTCAAAGATTGTTGGTCAACCCTGTCAGAGACTATATGACTCAGCCTATCATAACAACCTAGTGAGGCTGTCCAACAACATCATCTCTGACCCAAACCATGTTCTGAACACTGAATATGAACTGCTACCAATCTAATCGGAGGAACAGGGTCCACGTTTCATAAAGTCGGACTGAAGCACTCCTTTGTGCAATCAGTCAATACTTGCCATCACAGTACACTCAGAGCTAATCCCTAAGATCAAATGCACGCCTGAAGGCTCTTTGAGCATCTTTTCTCTCACTGATTGTGCTGTTATGTTAAATGTTTGTTGTTTGTGTTTCATGTATTGTGTCTGGATACTTGTCTGTTGATGATGTTGGACATGGAGCTGCTGTGACGCAAGTCAAATTTCAGACTTGATCTGACCAATAAAGTATTATCGTATCGTATTCAACTCATTTGTTAGACTTCAAGGACACATACAATGTATACAAACATAACTTGCTTTGTTTCCAAGGAAACTCCACCAGGCAACTTATTTAAGTGCTCTTTCTTCTTTTGCTCGTAAAAGGAATTGATAAACATCAATGAACACCGGACTGTTATAACTGAGTGACACAAACACTGCTGGTTATCATTCCAACATAAGATATAAAACATGTTTTTTTGTAAGGACAGGCTGAAAATAGTTGTCAAATAGTAATTCCCAAAATAACATTACACTATCATTATTGAGGTATTCAGGCAAATATATATACATATATATATCAGTTTTTGTTCTCTATTTAAGAGGATTGCATATGATCTGTGACTTGTTCCAGTTTGTCTCGTATATCTGGCCAGTCACTTTTAACAAATGCTACACAGACAGCCACTTGCACTGGAAAGAAAAGATAGTCTCCTACATGTTACCTTTAGACCCCAAGATGTTTCATTTGCTGGCTCAGCTGAGGATCCACACGGTGCGTTTGAAGCTCAACCCAGCTGTAACTGTATATGTTCAACGTAGCCATGACCACAGGAATGTTTCTGAGGCTGATTGGTGTTTTGTAGCAGGATCCAGTGGAAACAAATGTGGCGTGAATGTTTCAATAAGTCATGACTGCACACATATCAAGCTTTTTCTTGGAATCTGTCAGTAGTTTAGTTTGTCTGACTTGTTATAATTTCAAGGAAGGCAGAAAGAAAAATAACATACTTTAATAAAAGAATAACAATTATTTTGTTGCATTTTTTTAACTGAATCAGTTTCATTAGCTTGCCATGACACTCATTTTCAGTGTGGCTTTTGTCATGAAGGGGCAATAAATAGATTCTCCTGTCATAAGTTATGTCCAAATTAATAACAAATGTATTAAAATATGTTAAACACAAGGTCTAAAAGCCTTGTACACTTTTTTTTGCCCACCAACTACATTCCGATAACTTGACCTCTAAGTGGTGATTCCCGCAAAAGTGTGGTGTATTAATGTAGTCAACTCCTGGGTTATTCCCATAGACTGTATTCCGCACTCTAAAATAGGTATGCTACTATATACGGTAGGTTGTATTATTTCCCCTTTTGAATTAAATTGAATTAGATGGACCCAGGAGAGCCAAACCAGAAGTGTGAGATCCTGCTACCCTGAGAAGCCTGCATATGAGTTAGCTCTTACATCCTGGTGAGTTTTCCCTCAAGGCCTGTACCCCAACGGCAGTGGTCGACTTCACTCTCTTCCTCATTCCCACGCTATACTGTCTCCGTAGGTATGCTGATCTTTGACCAGGTTTTTGTGTTGAGTAATATTGAACAAAGTACACGGGGAGTTCCCTTTTTACGATTAAGGCTTCTCTGAATTGGTGTGAAAAGGTTACTATTGTTATAGCTCAGGGTGTAACCTCTATAGACTGTAAGTAACAATGAGCCGTATGGTGTCATGTATCATGATGTAACGTAACCTCACATTTAGTTTTTCAGTTGTTGATGAGTTCCATGTTTTGGTTTTCAAACAAATTCGCTCATCTTTTGTTTTTGGCAAGTTTCTTTATTTTTGTTCTAATGTCAAACACAGTTTAGGTTTTCTTATGATGCTGAGAATTCACCTTAAATAGTTAATGGAAATGAAATGAGGTCTCATGTTGTATGCTTTTATTGAAACTGAGTGACATAATGCTTGGAAATGGAAATGTACGGCACATTCTCCTGTCAAGTTTCTTGTGTTGAGGAAAAATCGTGTCACAAATGCATGGTTTTGTATGGGTTGTAGCCATGCATTTTGTCACTAACAAAGCTATAGAGTAGAACTGAAACACTTAGTTTACCAATCAATTAATCAGTTGGTTAAATGTCATTAAAACATCTAAATACTTCTAGCTTCTTAAAGGAATACTTTACCTCAAAGAGAAAATGTGTGTATCATTTACTCAACCTGTTACCCTTGGATTATACGAAATTTTGTAATTGAATGTTTTTTTGGGTGGTGAAGTATTCACTTTTAAAATATGAGTATATTAGTTGCTTTTTCTAATTTTTCATGTTATTATAAATGTAATATATTTAGGTGTTTGATGGTTAAAAAAAAACATTGAAAGATACTTTTCAAATATTTTCTGAAATGCATTGATAATGAAAAAAGACAATTTGTTTGTGCAGACCCTATATTCATTATGTTCCATGGGTGGACCTCTGTAATCACTTCAAGGTAAATGTTTAGTGCTTTTTCCGTTTGAGCATCAAGTCTCAAGGGACACAATATAATTAGTGACAGGAAAGAAAAGTTGTTTTGCCCCCCTCCCTCACCCCTCTAATGGTTCCATTTATCATCAACAAGCAGGCAGACGATTGCCATCCTGCTTGACCGTGTTAAACACAATTAGCCTCTGAGTTTTATAAATGATTGCCCAGTGTGAAAGAATACAAAATCATGTCATTAGCAGAAGTAGCTTTTTATTAAAGATGTGTTCAAAGGCTGCTTATTAAAGATGATTTAATTGTTTTCTTTCCTCCTCTGTGGCAGGGCTCTTTCCATCTCAGGCTTTGGCTCTGGGGGAACTTACATTTAAACGTTATCCACTGTTGCTCAATGAACTTACATGCCTTCCTGCCTCCACTCTCTTGTGGCGTCCCCTTGGACCTGAGTTAGATGGCCGTGCAAATTGGGTCTGACTGAAACAGGACGTTCTCAATCTGTTCATGCCGTCTGTTTCTGGTTTGCGATATTGAACTGCTCTGATTGCTGTAATGGTGCACTACATCTCTGAGGTTTCCACTTTAGGGAACATTGGCATGTGCCATATTTGAAAACCATCCTGATAGCTACACCGGCCATGAAATTAGGAGGTCATTTGTTTCTTGTGGAAGCCAAAGAATCACGCAGACGTTGTAGATATAGTTGGTACTGATGTCAAAATATGCCTTTCAATTACACCCTTGTTTGAAAAGTCAAAGGAGAGAAAGATCACCCATCAATAGCTCTTTTCATGCCCCTCTGCACTTCCACCCTTTACTTGAATACTGACATAAGAAAGTGATCATTGAAAATCATCGTTGCAGCTTTGAAATACCTTCTTGGTCATTGGAAGGACATCAAATAACACACCACTCACTGGGAGGACTAATGTGGTGATGGGCTGAAGTCCTATTCCAACCCCACACCTGCTTTTTGTTAGAGCGATATGTAATGTTGAGAAAGAAACAGACAGGGTTGGAAGCTGTTGGAAAGATTACCCCCCGGGGTATTCACAGTTTCGTCAGTGTTTCGCCGTCATGGTAACACAAACTTAGAAATAAATCATCTCCACCGCTTTTTCCAAGCAGCCCAGAGCCTTGAAGACGTGGAGGACCTAGTTTCTTTTTGACAAACACATGGGTATTTGATACTCACTAATTCCTATTTAATCCAAGGAGTGGACGCAGAGTTGAGAAAGGGAGAGAAATGGAAAGTTGCTGACAAAGAACAGTATCGGCTTATACGCTGGAGTTCGTTTTGTATTTGGGGCGGCAGATTTTAACTCACAACTTGAATTGTATTCCTGCTTGTCTGCCCCAGTTGAAGTGATACTAACAGACACATTCTTCTCAGTTTACTGAGAATGGTAGGTCAGAATGAGATTGACAAAAAGGGAAATAAAACTGAGGGATTCATAACAAAAAGGATGTGGGCACTTGCTGTTCATACTTTGGGGCGCAACTTATGTCAATAAGGAAATACGTCATCTTAACATGTTGTCATGTGAAGTCAGGTAAATTAAGGGACTTTATAATAGGATCATAAGTGACCTTGACTATCCTTTTGTAATTGCAGTTATGCTGCAGCCTTTTGACTATGATCCCAATGAGAAGAGCAAACACAAGTTCATGGTGCAGTCCGTGCTAGCACCTCCTGACATGACCGACATGGAGGGAGTGGTGAGTGCATCTTCTTCCTACAATCACGTTTCACCATCATTTTCCTTTTACTAATTTCAGTGTTGGCAAATGCTTCAAATGTATATTGCAAAAAACAGATACTGGATCAATCAATGAAATACATGAATTGAACTTAACGAAAGAAAAAGGCATGTTGGTTATTAAACATTTGATGCAATATTGTATTTAATAGAGCCATAGAGTGCAGATACCCTATTTTTAAGTTCAAAAATTGGTTCTTAATCAAGACATTGTGAAAGAATGTTTAATATGTCAACATGAGGGTTGTTATCTAAGTTTTTGTCCTGCTGCAAAGAGCCATTATCAGCAGTCTGTTACAAATGGTCCCTTTGGTCTTGATCACATATAAATGATTAATTGGTTGACTTTTCCTTTATCTTTGGTCCTCTCTCTCCTCAGTGGAAGGAGGCTAAGCCAGATGAGCTGATGGACTCCAAGCTGAGATGTGTTTTTGACATGCCAGTGGAGAATGAAAAAACAGTGAGTACATGCCGTGACACCACTCCTCTCCTCGCCTCACCACGTCAGCTCTGGTTGTCACTGCAGATCACAGATCAGAGACACTACAGGGAGTGATGCGTCACATTAGTACCACAAGTAGTGAGAATGTACAGCAAGTTAATATTGTCTAGGAAGAGTTTATTTTTGACTGGCTCCTTGTTTATTACCCAACATATTACACAGCTGCTAACTAAATAAATCCTACAACATTGGACACAAAATAGAGATTTGCAAATTTTCTTTTTTTTTTATGAGAAAAAAATATTGATTAAAACATTAAAATATGTTATTAAATTTCTATCAAGCTGCTGGTGTTCAGCAAACCTCACACATTGTTGCATCTTTACTGCTTCCTTCTGTAGAGTGCATTTATATGCTTGTTCCTAATCCTCTGATGTTTATTGTTGTTTTCCTGCTCCCCACCTATTTACTGCTTTCTCTTTCTTCATCCTGTCCCATCTCGGCCTTCACCTCTCCTCTTCTTTGAAAACTCTAAGACCGACCGACTGTCTTATTCTTCTATATCTTTTTTTATTTTCTCAACGTTGTTTATGTGTCAGCATTAATCTTCACTTTGTTCATTCTCACATGTAGTTTATTATTGTTGTGATTCAATCGGACCCCACACAGCTGTAGATACATTACCTCTTCACGATATGAGCTGAGTCTATGGTGGTTGTTTTCAATTCATTTTGAGCTGTGCGATACATACACATTGCTCCCAGTCAGCACCACAGAGTCCCTCAGACGGAGATATTGCTGATAGAAAACAGCTTGATCCACTCATGAAAGGCACCCCTGGGTGAACTCTCCCACAAACATGGTGCTAGGCAGCTAGAAACTAGGCTCTGTGTCCCTGTATAAAAGTCTGCAAGTCTCCAAATAAAAATATAACATTTCACCGGAGTGCCAGCCAAGTCAATGGTCAGAATTGCCATGGAAACATTGTATCAGCAAACAGAGAACTTATTGCGTTATATGTTGTCGCCCTGTTAACTCACTTACAGCTTGACATGGAGTCCAACAAGATGATGTCGTCCAGCTTGCTGAAGTCGGACTCCTCCACGCTGCCTCCAAAATCAATGAGCTCCACCTTCGATGACGGGGAGGTAAAGAAGATCATGGAGGACTGCAAGAGGCTGCAGATGGAGGCTCAGAGGCTACGGGAAGAAAACAAACAGATCAGGGTGAGTGAGATGACTCCGAAGGCCTGCACTACGAAGCCGGATTTTCGCTTAGCGAGCTATCTTCAGGGAAAACTCTGGGTTTCCGCTCCTACGACGCTGGTTCTTAGCGGGCTAGATCTCCATGGTAACTTATGCTGAATGGCTAGCCTGGTCCGGAGCAGGTTAGGTTCCAGGGTAAGAGATCAACTTAGTGAAAGCACCGCCTGCTGACCAATCAGAGCCCAGTGTGCAGAGTTTAAAGCTATCAAGTCATATTACAGGATAAAGGAAATACAGAAAACTGCCGTTGCAGGAAAGACGGCCGGCCAAAATCAACTGACTGTGTGAACGTAAAAATTAAGAGAATATCACCTCCCATCCTCAGAGCAATCTGACTATTATAACATTAGCGTTAAGAAAGGTTACTTAAATATCTGCCGCAAGTTAAAATAAGTAACCGGATCAAAGTAACATTACGTACAGTCCGCGGCACTGTGAGTGCAGATGTCGATGTGTCCCATTGTCATTCATATCACATCATATCACCTCATAATGTATCATATATCTCCTTATCTGAGTCAGCTTCTTGAGCCGTATCTGGCCGTGCAACACTCACAGTGTCACATACTGTATGCAGAAGTATTATTTTAAGCAACACATTAAGTTGACAAAACACTCGAGTCAAATGTAATTAAAGTCAGATCCACTCGTGTCTTAGACGGGGCAGTGATATGATAACCCAGCTAGCGGGGAATGTTCTCACAACTTTGGCTAACGTTACCTATTGGTTCTAACAAGGTTTTAAAGAAACGTTTTAATCTGATGTTCAAAGAACCTTTTTAGGGTGTTTATTTGTTCAAATAATGTTCCTATAAGGTTTAAGGTTAACTAAGACATAACATTTTAACTGCAACATTTAGAGGATGTTTTGAGAATGTTATTAAGGCCTGCGATGACAGAAAGTTTTTTATAAAAAATATACATGATAACAAATGAAGAACATTTTCAAAGCAACATTCTGAAATTGTTTTCAGGATGTTATTGAGGCCTGAGATGAGAGAAAGGGTTGTATAAAATGTTCCCTGAATGTTACATGATAACAAATAAAGAACATTCTCCAAGAAACATTCTGAAAATGTTTTCAGGATGTTATTGAGGCCTGAGATGACAGAAAGTGTTTTATAAAATGTTCCTTTAAT